TCCACTAATTGTTAAATACTCCTGCAGTGTTCTCCAGAAGTTGAGTTCCAGATCTAATAAAAACTGCAGTAATAAAAAATAAAAACCCAATCTCTGGCTTAAAAGAGAGTAATGAAAATGAAACAACCCTGTTGCTCTATGTTAAAATCTCTTTATTGTCTTTGTAGGAATTAACTTTGACAGACTATAGACGCCAGAACCTATCGCTTCTGAAATTTTATGTTCAGCGCTTTGGGGGAAAATACACTGATACTTGTGCAAAGCAGAACCCACAAACTCCAAACAAAATTAAAATTATATTGCACTAGACTTTGGAGCTAGGATAGTAAAAGGAAAGATCATCACCCATTTATAGGATAAACTAAGGTACACAGTGATTTGCTTAGAGACATAAAGGAAACATGAGGCTGAACCAAAAGTTCAGTTCAGATGTCTGAGTTGCAGCCCAGAACATAACTTCAGATAATGATTCATCAGCTGTTATTTGTTTTAAAGTAACTTGCTATTTTTATTCTATCTAAGGATAAAAGAGATACTTTCCTTAGCAACATTTATTTTTGAAAGGTTTGTAATATTGTGTCACTGAAAAACCCATAACAGAACTGCATTTTTATTTGTAAAACTGTAAAAGTTACGATAAAAGAGATGAGGTATAATTCGAGGCATCATCAGGATTAGAACATTAATTTCAAGGCAGGAACAGCTGACATCATGCAGTGGTGTCCAATACAGTTTCTTCAAAAGCACACGGTGCTAGCAGTAGTACTTTTTCTACAAAGCAAGGAATTAATTCATAAGGTCAGGCCCAGTGTTTTCAAATGGCCCAAAAAATACAAAATGGGCAACTCTAGAAAACATATGCATCTGCATCACTGTGAAGCTGTTCTTCATAAAGTTCTACCTGCAAAGCAGCTTCTTACAAATCAAATAACAATAAGCTGTTGGTAATCAAAAGTGGATGGAAAATAGCTCCCCAAAAGAAAGAGGAACAACAGAAGAGCAAAGCTGAAGCAAAGACAATTTTCCACACCTGTTACAGGTCCAAAGCTGAGGTTCAGCTGAGGCTCAATCTCAAAAATGAATATTTATTCCTTGAAGGACAAGGCTATTTATTTTGAGAAATACAGATATACTGTGTCAAGGGTCATGAAATTAAAATAGATAGCTTTGGTAACATCTGTGCTTCCCCACTTTGATGCCCTGTAACCCAAATAAACACCGTACAAATGAAAAGAAAACCTATATATCTGTGAATCTTTTGATCTAAATACTAGTTTACAAACCTGGTAGATATTATAATTATATAACTATCATAACTATTGAACTACAGAAGGCAAGATACACACTTATGTTTCCAGCAAACTTTCAAATTAATTAAAATGAAAAGTCTCAAACTTGGCCTGACTTGGCAGAAATAAATACCTTACAGATATTTTGGGTTTGCAGTGTTGAACAGCTGAAGTACTCTTGGTGACTATATGTCAGTGTATCCTACAAGCCTCTCAAATTCCTCAGTGGGGTTTTCTTACAATATATTTCAAGTTTCTGCATTAAGGGCACTGCAGAATCACACAGTTTCAATTTAACTATGTATTTGTAAGAATTCTTAAATATAAATTTAAATTATGTTTTCTGTTTCCAGATGAGAAGGGGAATATTGACTGTAAAACAGGACAGTAGGGCTGGAGTAGATAAAAGTAACCAGAGGACAAATGGTTCTGTACAATTAAATTAGAATAAAACTGGTGCCTAGATACTACTAACAACCACCCACTTCTGCATTATGCTTCTTCGCTGAAGCCCACAAACAGTCATGACTATTGACAGCGCAAGTGTGAGTCTACCAAGCCTTGGGAATTTTCAGATGCAGCTTTTTAAAAAAAACAAAACAAAAACCTTTCATTAGGAGCAAGAGAAATCTTAGCTCTACTTAATACAGTGGAACCACAATTTTATTCCATTCCATGCTACATTATGTCTCCTGGATGCTAAAATGGGTTTGCTGCTATCAATCTCCCTAACAGAGTTCCCCAATAAAAGAGAAAAGATACCAAATGAAGATATTAAATCATCCTGTGGAGAAGTGAGACTATTTTTAAAGCCTTGAAAGAGTAACAGGAGCACAATACAGCATAGAAAACAGTAGTTCTATTAGTTTCTAACTATCATATAAAGAATTAAAACACATTTGAAATCCTCAGCTTAATCTTTGTTTAACCATGTTTTAAAATTTTGTTGCGCACAGGCTTGCCAGAGTGTATCCTGCTATTTCTGCTTTCTGAAACATAACTTTTTGCTCAGCTGAAACACTCCCTAATTTTTGTCCACATTTTTGCAATAAACAAAATTGATACCCTCCTGCCATCTAGTGGCTAAAAAAAACCCTAAACCAAACACCACCGGCAGATGTTAATTCAAAACTTCTTTCTTTCAACTCTTTTCCCCACCAACCAGTTTTTCCCCACCAACATTAACTAAGTACTAGCACTTTTTCAAAGAAAAGGAAATATGTAGATGATAATTCCCCTGTGGTGCAGCCAGAAGAACCTGGCCACTCTATGGCTTGTTCTGAGCCTCGTGGCCTCCATGGCAAAGCAAGCTCACGGACTTCTTGGAAAGAAATATCCTGTAGTGAATAAGATTTTCACTTATTTCTACTTACTGCTCTTGCTAGATAAATCTCCAGTCACAGCCAGAGAATGGTGAATTGGAGCTGTGAAGTTACTGGAAACAGCTGGTCTTTCTGCATGGCTTTGAATTCAGTTTCTGACCGATCTGTTCTCTAAAGTTAAAATTGATGTGCTTATTTAACAATATAAGTTACTTGTTTTCCTGTTGAGCTTATATATTTTAAGCAATAATAAATGAAATACAATGTAGAATTTCATTGAAAGTACTGCACAGCTGGTAGAAAATGGGTTGCTAAAACAAAACCAGGGACCATAAAATTGTAGTCAGTCTAAAGCTTTCTAGACATCTTATTTTACAGGTATTAATTTCATATTGCCAAAGTGAAGCCTTGGCAATCAAGACACAGAGCCACACTGGTTCCAACTAAAAGTACATCTAGCCTAGTATCTACTGACTAGTAATGAGTTTTAGTAAAACAAACAAAAGAAATTGGATACAAAACATATTCTCACAGAAACCTGATTTAGGAACATCTTGCTCCAAAGATTTTACCATCAATATTCCCACTGACCTTTTCTTCCACAAATACATCTAATCTCTTCTGAACTCATCTAAAATCTTGATGTCTGCATATCTTGTGACTTTAAGTTTTACCATTGCATTCTGCACTATGTGAAAACTACATCTTACCAGTTGTTTTAAACCTACTGCGTGAACTTTTCATTGGATGTCCCCTAGATTTCTGGCAAGGCACAAGGAACGATAATACTCTATTCACTTTCTCCTCCATTACAGTCATGATTTTAGATCACATCCCATCTTCCTTTATCCTCTCACATTCCTTTCCTATATTCCTTCAAGCCAAAGAGTTTTAGTTTCTGTAAGACAAAAACCTTGTCACTGTACTTGGATTTTTAAGACCTTGGATTTTTAAAACCAGCTCATTCCTCTTTAGGCAATCATCACCTTCTTCAAGAAACTTTGATAGATTTCTCACTTATTTTTTTCCTGCAAAATCTAAGTTGAATCTTCTCAATTACCTCATATTTAACCTGAGCAATCTTTTACTTCTAGAGAAAAATGTTTCAAATTGTATCTTCAAGGAGTTCCCAAAAGATGAATGCCTCAAACTGGTGCATAGCCAAATTATTTGAAAAAATTGCTTCTAGAAAAAAAAGTGATAGAAATACTGATTATTGCCTTTCCTTCAAGAATGATTAACTTTGTGTTGCATAATTTAATAATAGTATTAGCATATCACCTCTTACAAAGAAGACCAATTCCAATATTAAAACACACATTTTATAAAGTTTAAAAAGAAACCTTTGAAAAATGTTTGGCAAGATTTAGAAACAAATGTTACGTTGTCTATTTTGCATGATGTGATTCTGTTAAAATTAATAATACACATACAGATCATAAAACATATTTGACGAATGATAAAATGAGACAGAGAAAGCAAAGTGATTTGCTTAACAGCACATCAAAAGTCTTCTAAGACTAAAGCATCTTCACTCCTCTCAGACTTGTTACCCCATTAGACTCTTATAATAAGCAGCGAAAATAAAATTATATTCTCCCTGTACTTTCTCTGAATTACACTGTTCACTTGAATGTGAATGTCCAGTAGTAAAAAAAATCAAAACCTCTCTGTAAATACAATAGTCTTTGTAATAAACACCTCTAATAAAATCTCCCTAAATCCATGAAGTTCACAATGTGAAGTAGCCATATGCTGACATTCAATAGTATTTGTAAGTTTTGCATGTTCATTTTTCATGTTTTGTATTTTCAATCACATTTATCTAGTGTTTTCAGGAGTACAGACAAGCAGTACATAGTTCTTGCTTCCTATACATGTAATGAAAGTAAGCTCATGCTTCAGTGAGACTACTATGTTTTAAAATTAAAGGCTTTTAATTTATTCTGTAACGGGTTACATCTCTAGAGTCAGCAAGGCTTCTTTGTGCTACGACCTAGATGGCACATCCAGGCTTTAAACTAACTTACATAGTCAGTAGGGGATTCCAGTGATGCAGGAGATAAGCTGAATACAGCAGTAAAAGAGATGATTAATGACATATTTAATTCCCAGCTCCACCAAAGGGCAATGCTTAAGATAAAGGACTGTAGTTGATGCTAAATGAACTCAGTGGTCTCTTGACTACCAAATAAAGCTTATGGGAGATACTATATAGAGAGATGCTTTAAGGTACAGACCAGACACATTAAACCTATACAACATAAACCATCTGCCTATCCAGACCATCTATGACATTGTGGACATGGCAAACTGAACACCAAAATCCCACTAGAAGGGTAGTGGGACAGCTGATACAACAATAGCAGGAACAAAAGTAGTAACTTACTTTCCAAAAAGTGAGAATCTGCTACTTCTGTCTGGCTTTGCATCAAATACATCATTGCAATCTTCACCACCTTTCTCTTGAGTAGAGTGATCAACATGCTGATCTCCTGACATCTACAAATAAAAGTACAAGAATGTAACTGTTCCTCAATGAACACTCTTAATTTAGAAATACTTCTGTAAACCAAACCGTTAAACCAGATACATGTGAGGTTGTTAGTTATACTGTATAATACTTCATCAAGTAAGAGTGGCTATAGATTTCTGGCCTTGAATTAATGTGACATTGCACATGCTCAGCCACCTGTATTACCTTGTTGCAGTTACCAAAAGCGACTTTGTCTAATACCACTCTCAAAAATGCAGATAAGAACAAAAGTAAAAATCATTTTATGGTGAAAAATCTTATGACTAATTCCCAGAAAATTTTTCACAGTCTGGAAAGAAGTATGTTGGGAAGAAAGCAAGGACAACTAAAATCAAAATATTTGTAACTGCAATCCTATCCAGTACTAAGACACCCAGTGAGCTCCTGTGTTTTCATTTGCATATGCAGAGTCGAATGTGCATAAGAGAAGAAACCCCGCACTATCTTCTATGGATGGGATCTTAGGTTTTCTTTTCTCTTTTGTCTATGTCAACACTTAATCTGAATTTTATATTCTTCTCATGACTAATTAATACATGTGCACAGTTGTTAGGGAAAGAAACAGTTGTGAAGTGTTTCTTGGAAATTAAAAGGTATTTTCATTACATAAAGCAGCCTCTTACACAAATTGCTGTATTTCAGCCAGTATTTTTTTTTTGTTACTCCAGTGTAAGCTTGAAACATCTTCACTCATCTGAAAAGCGACACAGGGCACCAGTAGGCAACAAGGCTGAGCTGATCTAATGACTTTTTCCTGATGAAAAAATGGTCTCTCCTCTTCTTCCATGTCCCGAGTTGCTCACTCAGGAAGTTTATTTAGCTCATTACGCTGGCCGAAAACTACAAGAAGAAATGAGCCATTTTTCTGACAGCGCAGCGAGCACCAGCGCGGCGCGGGGCGAGCAGAGC